AAACAACATTTTAAAATACAATTGAACCCGGGCAAAAGATTGTAAGAAAAACTGATAATCCTAAAATTGATTAGAGAGTTGGGATAAAAGATTCACTGATAATAGGTAATTAGCAATGACTTTGAATATCTGGTGGCATAAGCAAGTATGAATTAGGATTTTTTTAATAGTGATTTACTAGTTAAAATAATGAATGAAAAGAGAGACTGGGATGGACCTACAGATTTTAAAAAATCTATGGTAGTAAAGGACAGACATTAAGAACACAATGCCATATTCTGTGTTTATGCCCTAGAGTAGTGAGAAATTACATAAACATTGCTTTCTTTTATCATTTAAGTCAGTTTGAGTACTTGGTATTACTAGAGAGGAAACTGTACTCATTTATATTGTGACACATCCCTGCGGGTATAGTGTTCCCTTTAAGATGAGGTATAGTACAGATTTACAAGGTTTAGTCCTCAGGAAGGAGAGAAAGGTGCCTATGGTTGACAAGTGTCTTTGTGGGCAAAGTGTTAAGAAGGAGGGTGGACATGGTAAGAAGTTGTCCTGGGTGCTGACAGGGTTATCTTCGAGCAGAACTGAAAAGCAGAGAAAGTTCATGTTGAGGAACCCTAGCTAGTCTCTAGCTTGTTCTTTGCTGGATACCTCTAGCTCTCCTCTCTACTGACCTTGAAGAAAACCGCATACTTGTTTTGTTTTTAGGAAATGAGCATCCCATAATCTCTTTCTCCAAGTCAAGTCGGTACTCGTTCACAACCAAGTGAAAGTGATTAATAACAGCTTAATATCTTCTACTGTGATGTAGCTAGGGATTAAAAATATAACCAGACCTCAGGGAGACAATTTGGAAACATTATCAAAGGATATAAGAGAAGATCTTATGTAGCAGAGAGATGGTAAATGTTCTAGAATGAAATGAATTCATATTATAAAGATGCTAATTCTCTCTGAATTAGTCTTTAACTTAAACCATATTCTGAAGTTTCTGCAGCACTTTTCCAGGAACTTGACAAATCTATTATAAAATTTATGTAAAATATATGCCGAAAGTTCATGAATGGCTAAGCCAGCCTTGAAAAAGTAGAGAAAAGAGGGTAGATGTCTAGATATAAAGACTCAGTAATAAAAAATATGGACCTGGCTCAGGAACAAAAACAGAAAACCAAATAAATCAATAGGAAAACAGCAGAGAGCTCAAAGATAGCTGTTTATTAATGAGAAATTCACATATGATAAAGGACTCACTGTTTTAGTAACTGTGTTGGGAAAACTGTCTCATTAAGTGGAAGAAATAAGACCAATTCCCTGCTTTCCATCCAATACAAAAGGCATTAAAAACCTGATTGTGAAAAGCAAAATTATAGGGTAAATACAAGAAAAGACAGAGAAATATCTCTGTGACCCAAGGAGGAAGGGAGACTTTTTACACAAAACTTTGGCAAGTACAAATCATACAACGAAAAAAAGAAATTTAAGATGACATCCAAATCACATTTTCTGTTCAACAAAAGAGAAGTACAAAAAGTTAATAGGCAGGACACAAACTGGGAGAAGAGTTTGTTATGCTTACAACCCAAAAGAAAATAATACATAAAATACATAGGGTACACTCACAAATCATCACTAACAATTACAATGAAAGACCAAAGCCTGTTAAAAAAATGGGCAATTGATGTAAACAATCAATTTATAAAAAAGGACCCTAGTGGCTGCAAACATATGAAAAATGCTAATTTTAACAATGAGATGCCATTTTAAACCTCTAAAACCTGAATGATGTCAAGTGTGTGTGTGGATCTTAGAAAACAAAAATATTACTTCACTGCTGTGAGAGAGTAAATCAATACTGACTCTGCTGTGTCTAGTTAATGAAGTTATATCTATGGCCCCGTAGACCTGGGTAACTATTTCAAAAATACTCTCCAAAATTACCATTAAAATGACTTGGATGAGATGAGCTTGCTTAGTGCTGTGATGTCTGGACAGCAGTGAGGCAGAGGTGGTTTACAAGTAATAAGTGATGAAACGTGGGAGCCAATAATAAAACGTGGAGACGCAGGATAGAATGTCATGTTAGGAATAGGACCTACACCCAGCAACACAGGTAGATTGCAAGAACACTGCGAGTGAAAGATTAAGAGAGAGGACCATTTCTATAAAATAAAAATTGTACAGTTTACAGGGATGAATATGTATTTACAAATGTATGCCAAATACATGAGAGCAGGTGTTTATAGTAGGCTGAGAGGTGGTGGTGGGTGATGGGTGCAGAGGGAAGGAGAACAATGAGGGTAGGGGCTCACACACCACACACACAAACACACACACAGAAGGAACCTCATATGGGACAACGCCCGTCTATGTTGTCCTGAGGAGTATGATGAATACAAAGCTTCTTACCTGAGCTACCTAAAGTCCTGCTTCTAGAGAGATGTGTACTTCAGAGGAACAGACTGTGGATTTCCAAGTATCGGCCAACGAGCCGGGAACGAGTGTAATCATGCAGTCCGTGGATATTCATCCTGCATCACCTGCCGTGTGTCTGGCATTGTTCTAGGTGCTGGGATGGTGTTTGAAAGAGACACGAAGGCTGCCTCTGGCTGGAGACTCTGGTTAGCCCGTCCTGGCAGCTTGTTGTATGTAGCTAAGGTCACCCACGGGTACAGTCTATCTGTCTGGGGCCAGGGAGCATGATGCTGTGGTTGCCCTTCATCCAGTGTGGCTTCTGGGAGAGACTTGAACATTCACAAAGAAATAACTTTAAAGAAGACACGTTAATAATCTGGAATTATTTAGCACACATATGTCTCTATGAATAGTTATTTTCATAGAAGCAGTTTTATGATGTATCTACTATCTCTCCTGATAGCACATACTTGTGAGACTCTTGTATGATGGTTTGGAAATCCACATACAGCCCTGGAGCAGACTTTCCCCTTAGTAGGCCTTGTCAAGCTCACTAAAATCTAAGATCTTGGCTCCATTAACACTATCTTACTAAAGGTTGCTCATCAGGGTCACATAATGAACAATAGATGTATTGCTGCTACTAAATTGGTTTGCAATTTTCTGGCATTCTATTTTTGTTTTACAACTATTTATTCCTTATACAGGAACAATAATGAAGCTGGCAAGTAGTACTGGGTCAAACCCCAACATAAGAAGGCAATTCCCAAATTACCTCCATGCGGGTTCCCAAAGACACTTAGTAAATTATTTAATCTATTTATCTATTCATTCAATATGCTCTTACCAAGTCCTTCCTATGTGTATAGCACTGTTCTAAGTCCTGGAGATACAAAGATGAAAGAGAGAGATAGACTTTTCTCTCAAAAGCATATAATTTAATAATGTAAGAACTTATTTTCTGGCGGGCACAAAATTAAGTATGTTTGTAAGGTTCCCAGGCAAACCAACAGAAGCCTAATTTAATCCATTATATAGTTTATATAGAGAGCTTAACTGTGCATAGAGTTAAGAACTTAACTCTTAACTCTAATGCTAATATAATTATATAGCATTTTGGACAAAAATGGTCATATCTTATTAGTAGGAAATTGGAAAAGAAGAGTTTTCTCGTTTGGCATTGATGAATCAGCTCAAGCAAACTTGTGCAGTGGGTATGGTTTTTATGTACTCTCCCTGACCTTCCTTTTTAATTACCTTCCCAAATGTTCAGCGTCCTAATGCTGTCTTAACTCTTCACCGCGGCTCCTTGCCCAAGGCCTGTGCAATCTCACAAAATGCTCAAATTTCCACAATTATTCACATGCCTTCTTTGATGCTCCTGATCCAAACTTGTTGCGAAAAGAAAAATCTGATCAAACTAATTTGCACGAATTTACATTCCTTCCCTTAGTAACAGATCAGTGCCCTTGTTCCCTGATCCCACCTCCTTGGGAAGGTTTCAGTTTTAGGTATTATTCAGAGTTCAATGTATTTTAATAAAAACCACCTGTAATCATTAAATTGCCAGATTCTCTTCTTTAGACTTTCATGTATACAATAAAAAGTGTTATAAGGTCTTTGGAAATATTTTTGGGGAACTTGTATGTTGTTTAGAATGAGGGCAGGTAAAATTAACTACTTGACTGTATTCTTAAAATACTTACATGTTAAGAAAAATACTGATCAGATTGTTCTGCATTACTATTTTCAAGTTTAAATTGATATTGATTATAATTTAATGAAAACTTTAAGATATATTTACATCTACTGTAATCATTTAGCCACTTAAAAAATGCCATAGAATGGCAGAGGAAAATTCTGTTAGCCAATACTGCTACTTTTAAAATTTAAGTCTTCTTCAGCATTCAGCATAGTTTTTAAAAAAGGACATAAAATTCTTTTTGAAAAATGGAATTGTCTCCAAGCTGTCATTACTGCTTATTTTAAAGTAAAGGATATAGGTCCTTTTTGTTTGATCACCTCTAAAGAGATAAGAATCTATGAAGCTGCTAGGAAAGTAAGTGAGTCCGTGACCAAAATGCTTACTCACTACAGGAGATCAGAAAATTTTTAAACTAAACCTGGAATCTACAAAGACAAAACAGTCATTTTCTTTGAAAAGTATGTAGGGCTTAGAAACTTTCTGGGATTTGTCTGTAAAAGCACCCCCCGGGCCTAATAGTGACGTTGTAGGGAAATGCTGGCGTATCAAGGTGGGAAGGCTTGGAGGTGGTGCTCTGTGGGCTCCTGTGGTGGTTAGGTAGTTCTCAGAAGACCGCACTGGAAATTAGATAATTGCTGATGTCATAGCAATTTTCACACAGACAATTTGGTGTCCTGGGGGCTATAAAAGCAGCAGCTTCTACTTTCCCATCACAAGCAGAAGCCTCCAGACAGGTAAGTCCTCCCACGAACTTGGTAGGATTGGCTTGCTGGGTCTGTTGCTTTTGGATACTTAATTTGTTCCTGGATGTTGATTTTGTTTCTCGTCCTCTTGATACCAGGTTCTCCTTCCCTAGTCACCTGTGCTCAGGTTTGCTTTGTCCACGATGGCTGCCCTGCAGAAATCCGTGAGCTCTCCCCTCGTGGCCACGCTGGCCGCCGGCTGCCTCCTCATCCTGGTGCTGGGCGCCCAGGGAGCAGTGGCTGTGCCCATCACGTCGCATTGCAGGCTCAACGAGTCCGACTTCCAGGAGCCCTACATCATCAACTACACCTTCACTCTGGCCCAGGAGGTACTCATCTCAGCCTTTCTCTTTGCATCTTACCTACTTGGAACCTGAAGAGTTCTTAAAATGTCTTCAGAGACCATCTCAGATCTTTAATAGATGAACATTTCTCTCTACTGATATACCTGCCATCATTTTCTATGTCTTTTAAGACTTTTTGGAGATCAAGCTTCACCTCGAGACCTTCCATTTTGCCCTTTAGGATATGTACATTCAGTTTTACCCCAAAAAGAGCCATGTAGTAACCCATCTGACTGTTTATGGTTCCCTTTACTCCTCGAAGCATTCTTTTATTTTTTGAAGAGAAAGAAATTGACATGTTTTGAGCACTTACTATGTTATGAGCTCTATTCTAGGAGCTTTAAATCCATTCTTTTTTTTTTTTTTTACTGAAGTATAATTCATTGACAGTATTATTTAAGTTCCAGGTATACAGCATAGGGATCCACAATTTTTAAAGATTATTCTCCATTTATAGTTATTATAAAATATTGGCTATATTACCTATGCTGTACATTATACTTTTCTATCTTATTTTTTAACTTATTTTGAAGTATAGTTGGTTTACTGGGTCATGTTAGTTTCCAGTGTATAGCACACTGATTCAGGTCTATATATATATGTGTATATATAATGTATGTTTATTCTTTTATATATTCTTTCCTCTTATTGGTTATTGTAAAATATTGAGTATAGTTCCCTGTATTATATAGTAACTTCTTGTTAGCTATCTATTTTACACGTTGTAGTGTGTATATGTTAATCCCAAACTTCTAATTTATCCCTCCCCTCAGCCTCTGAGCATCATTTTAAACCCATGCACTAAAGAACCCTTTCTTCAGCCTTCACAGTGCTGCTCTGGGAAGAGGGGACAGAGTACAGTTCTACTTACAGACATTTCTTCTAGCTTTTTGATGTCCAGGCACTTACTGTTTCTTCTCTTCCAGGCTAGTTTGGCAGATAACATCACAGATGTTCGTCTCATTGGGAAAAAACTGTTCCAGGGAATCAATGTAAGCCATAGGCATGATGCCACTTGTGGTTACTTGGCGTGATGGTGAGGATGGGCTGGGTCTTGCGGATGTCGCCTCATCTGAGCCCTGCTGTTTCACTTTCACCAGCAGGTGACAAAACGCTGCTATCTGCTGAAGCAGGTACTGAACTTCACTCTTGAAGAGGTGCTGCTTGCCCTTTTGATAATGGAAGTGACAAAATCAGAGGTGGGTGAGCTTGATGCCTCTGAATATTGAAAACTAAGAAAAATATTTTAGTGGAGTGGGCTGAGCAAAGGGGGCCTAGTATTTATTGAGGAGGGCCCTATTCACATGAGATGTTTCATGTAGGTTTCTTGTTCTGAGCCCGTGTTTTTGATGAGGTGCCGTTATGGTTTTATTCTTGACAGGATTTGCATAAACCACTCCACTCTTTCCACAAACTTCAACCTCAGTAGGGTTTCCCAAAGGTGAAGTGAGGACCCCGCGTAAGGGAAATGACTGGATTTTGGTGTCCCAGGGAATTGAAGAGGTCAGAAAATCTAGGTCACTACTGATATCTAGGTCGTTGTGGGCAAAATTGCTAAGAACTTTAATTCCAGGTGAATTGTAACATACTTCGGTTAGGAAGGCTGAGTTTCAAAAAGCTTCAGTACAACAATGTTAAACTTGTTACTCTCATTTCCATTTTGTAGCATGAGTATGACAGCCAGCACATCCAGAGAAATGTACAGAATCTGAAGAACACAGTGAAAAAGGTACTACTAACAACTGTTAGTGCTAAATCATTTGATGGAAGAGACAAATACTGTTTTTCTTCCCTTTCTTCTCTTTTTTCTCCCATGTCATGATTTTTCACTGGACTCTCCTGCCATCGGGTTGATTATTTAGGTGCACATACATATAGATGTTTATAAGTCAGTTTCCAAATTTTGCAAATTCTAGAACTGGCTGGGAACTTAAGTCATCTAATCTTGTCACCCATGTGCTAGGGATGGCCAGTGTCAGAGTCAGAATAGACTGCAGGACCTCTGAATCCCATCCAGGTCAGAAGTGCTCAATATTCCACTTAGTCTCATTAGTTCTTAGGGAAATTTAAGATACCTACTGATTCATTTAGTCTGAAGAAGCATTTGTTCAAAACCAGAAAACTGAGGAAAACTTATTTGAAATAATTTTGAAGTCATTCACATGATGATGTAAAACTTGGAGAAATATACCTAGAACAGCCGTAACAAAAAAGCTGGACTTACACATAGGATGGGTTTCTGGAATGGTTGGTACTTATATTTAAGTATTAAAATACCCAGCAGCTATTGGTTTTAATTTAAAAGTGAGAGTGAATGACCCCCCAGTTTCTTTTACACAGTTTCAAATAGAATGGAAATGTTAATATTAGTAATGGGTTCATTGCAGGGAAATGAACGTCCACACTGGAAGCCCTCTTTCTTCCTCTTTCCTTGTCTCTTCCTTCCCTCGACAATGCCCTAGTGAGCGTCTATCTGATTTGGGTTAGTGTATATTTTGACAGAGAATGATACGGTCAGGTGGCCTATTTGGGGAAAAAGAACAACAGGGGAAGGCTGAACTCAGCTGACTAATCCAGAAGCCAGAGCTACCATGAGCAGCAGCAAAAGTGATGGTTTGGCAAGCAGATAGAATTAAACCTCAGAAACAAGAAGGCTCTGGTTGATGGAATTTTCAGTAACAAGCGTAACCTCAATTCCCCCTTTTTTCCATCTTGATTTTTTTTTTAATAAAAAGTATCTCTTCCTGAATGTGATTTAATGAACATTGTCAATGCCTTCCTTTGATAACTGAAGGATTTGTTGTTTTTTATTGTGAAGATAAATTCTCTTGTCATAGAATGATTAGCTAGACACAGAGGGCTGAATATTAGCAGGCCATAGCCAAGAGGTACTTTGCCTTTTGGGTGTGAAAAATTCCTCATATGAGCTTACTTTGTTGTCTTTAGAAAAGTGGAGTGTGGGAGAGAAAAAGCTGATGTGGGGAAACAGATTTTAAAGCTCTTACTCCATTTTGAGGGAATTGACTTTCACATTAGCAATCAGCTGCCATGTGGATGAGTAGTTAAGCTTTTTTTTCTTTTTTAACCCTGTAGTTCCAGAAAGCATAGTGAGAGAGGAATATTATTCAGAGAAATCTCAGCGTGCATAAACATTGGTCAGCACTGTGAAATGGGAGGTCATCTTGGGGGGATAGTAATCCCCTGTCACTGAAGAAAAGCAGAAAGCAGGCAGTAGCAGAACAGAGAACAGACCGTAGAATTCTTTATCATCTTGAGAGTCTTTGAGATATTAAAAAAAATATCTCTTATCATTGTGTCAAAGGAAGTATTGAAAGGTGGAAAGATGGAAGAAAGCAGGAAGAGAAAGCTCAAAATCTAGAGGACAGTGATGACTTAGGGTTGCTGTTTCCTTTGAAATAATCTTGAGCACATTTAATTAGACAAGTTTCAGAGGAGGGGACTTAGACTTGTGGTCCCTCTCCCATGGGGTTTAAAAGACTATTTTGCCTACTACTTGGAAGGAGGAGGAAAGAAAGGGTGTTAGACTCTGTATCTGCCCTTTCACTGTTAAAGCAACTAGATAGGAGGCATTTGATATTTCCCCACAAAAGTGAAAACTTGTTTTCCCCCACCTTGGTCAAGAAAGTGGAAACAGAAAAAGTCCACATGTTTTGGTAAATGTGGTAGTTTTGATTCAAGACTATTGGAGTTGAGTGGTTATACTAACTGGTTGGTCACAGATAGTCGTGGGGCTCAGAGGCAGGGCAAGGAGGGATGAGTGGTGCTTGGGTCTCCCAGATCCCAGCACAGCCTCTACCTGCTTGCTCTGGGTCAGCAGTGATTTAACACGTCAACCAGCTGAGACTGATGCCCATGTGTGCCCTCTCAGATCAGGTCATATACTTTTGGAAAAGGGTATTATCACTAATCTTTTCTAAGAGGCTAAAACTTGGTTTCTGTTCCAACAACCTCACCATCTCATCTCTCTCTAATTTGTTTCTCCTTAGAAAACATGGTATAAATGCTGAAATACTTGTGTGTTCTTATTTTCACAGCTTGGAGAGAGTGGAGAGATTAAAGTCATTGGAGAACTGAACTTGCTATTTATAGCTCTGCGACGTGAATGTGCTCAAGTAGAACAAGGCTGGAAAATGGATTACTAACCTTTCTCACCTGTTAAACAATAAGATCCCCTGAGGTTTTCTTTTAGCAAAAGGAAAAGGGGAAGCCAAACTCCATAGTCCTGTGTAAATTCTAAAAAAACCCTGGCTTAGCTTCAATATGAGAACGATGTCACTTGTATCCATAAGATCAGAAGCTAGACCTTCCAAGCATATTAATAACTTTTTATTGTAGTCAGTGTTTTATACACAGAAATTTAACTATTTCTCCACAAAGAAGATTACGTTCTATCTCTTTAGAAAAAGCCCCTAAATAACTTTATTTCCATAATCAATACTTTATATTTATGAATTAATTTATTGTTATAAGTACATGTCTTATTATTTATGTCACTTTACTAATATGGGTTTATTTATGGGAGCATTATAAGATATTCCTACTTAATCATAAGGTTAATAGTAATATTTATGATAATAATTATGGAGCTATGTTTAATTGGTCTCAATAAACACATCGATATCCTAAATCTTGTGGCTTTGTGACTTTTTTCCCCTCTACTGTTTTCACCACCATCATCACCATCATCATCATGTAATCATTCCTATTTGCTAAATGGGCCCAGAAGCTGTATAAATGATTTTATTCCTGACTCTAAGCAAATGAGGTGCTATTAGTATTATCCCCTTTTACTGCTGAGAAAGCCAAATCAGAAACATGTTTAAAATATTGTGTTACTATGAGTAGTTGAAACTTTTCAAGCTAGTTCTATCTGACTTCTAGGGGATCTTCTGTATTACCTATATAGATTTATTGTGTTGATTCAGCATGTGATTCTGAAAGTAAAAAGGTAAGAAATTTAAAAGAATTCATCTGCATCACTAGCAGTTTGTGGATAAAAGAAAAGAATGATGCTGGAGGAGAAATACATATTGCCTGTGTTGATATAGATGAACTCTTTGTGGCTCAGAGGATAAAGCGTCTGCCGGCAATGCGGGAGACCCGGGTTCCATCCCTGGGTTGGGAAGATCCCCTGGAGAAGGAAATGGCAACCCACTCCAGTATTCTTGCCTGGAGAATCCCATGGACAGAGGACGGGGTCGCAAAGAGTCGGACACGACTGAGCGACTTCACTTCTGAGCCTCTTAGGCAGGGCATCCTCCAGTTTGCCTGTGAGTCAGGAAGGAAAGGGGAAGCTGATTGAGTTTGGGGAGTCTCATCTGCTAGTGGAGTTTAGCCCTGGTAGAGAAGTCTTGTGCGTGGAAGATGAAACACACATGAGGGCAAAAGCTGGACGTCATCAAGATTTGTGCAGCAGTACAGAGAAGAGAGTAGAGATGAAGTTGGACTAGTTCTGTCTAGAAGAATGGAGAAACACCACCAGCACTGAAGCTTGTATAGGTCCTTCCACAGAAGGTGAAAGTCGGTGGTCAGCAGTCTCAAATGCGTTCTTCTCCAAAAAGCCAGGAGCTATTCTACAGGGCACTCACCAGTTGTTTGCCAAGCTCCTGAAAGATGGGGTCAAGACTGGTGATGATTAAGATATAGAGGGCAAAGAAGTGGTTACCTGTGGGGAGAAGGGCAATGTTCGGAGGAATAAGATGTACAAACCATTAGGTATGAAATAAGCTACAGGGATATATTGTACAGTATGGGAAACACAGTGAATATTTTATAACTATGAATGAAGTATAACCTTTAGAAACCATGAATCACTATATCATACACCTGTAGCTTATATAATGTTGTACAGCCACTATACTTCACTTGAAAAAAAGACTGATGGTGATTGTGAACACATATGTAAATTGCACATTCACTTGTGGATAAAGAAGAGTTAATGCTTTTGGTATTGGCTCCAAATGCTGAAAGGTACCGAAGCTAAGCTTCCAGAATGATGGGATGAGAATTACTTATGGGTTAAGCTGAGTTTTAGGACTCTTTTCTCTCTTCTTCCAGATAAGTCTCAGGGGGATTCCCTGGTGGCTCAGATTGTAAAACCTCTATCTGCAATGCGGGAGACCTGGGTTTGATCCCTGGGTTGGGAAGATCCCCTGGAGAAGGAAACAGCAGCCCACTCCAGTACTCTTGCCTGGAAAATCCCATGGACAGAGGAGCCTGGTAAGCTACAGTCCATGGGGTCGCAAAGAGTCAGACATGACAGAGAGACTTCACTAATGACTTGAGAAAAATTTGCACTTGTTTTTGACCAATCTTCTAGAAATTGAGCCATCCGTGGAAGAATACCTTTAAGATTGGATTCACAGATACTTCCACCCTATGACAAGGAGTCTGAAATGAAGAGATTTAAAAATTTTGAATGCCAATGGATATAAGGAATAAGGTGCCAGGATCCTGTCCAAGTCTGGAGGGCAGTTCTGGAAATGTGACAGTGACATGAGATAGTCCAGATTCCTCATGGGGAATCTTGACATAATCACTGGCAGTTGCTGTAGCAACTCTTTTATTTTTTTGGCATCAGTGGCAGTGGCTAGCATTTGGCTGGTACTATTGGCATGGCTCGTTCTTGGCACTGGCAGAAGCCTTGGGTGTCTACTTCCCCAGCAGCAGATGACAGCATTCAGGTATTTAAGAAAACTAATCTGTGAGCTTGTATGAGACACAAGCTCCCTGAGACCCTAACCAGCATTTAGGATTGAGGAGATGCCCTTGAGGGTTTCAGGTGTGGGAAGACTTGATATGACTCATGACTGTTGGGTGGAGAATAGTTCTAGGAGGGGTAAGAATAGAAGCAAGGCCGGTGCAATCACTGGAGGGGCACCCAAGGCTGGTGCTGTGGTTAGGGTGGAGAGGGAGGTGAGAGGGCGTTCAGGATGGGAGGTACACATGTATACTTGTGGCCAATTCATGCTGATGTATGGCAGAAACCATCACACTATTGTCAAGTAGTTATCCTCCAATTAAAATAAATAAATAATTTTTTTTTAAAAAAGGAAAATGGTGATTGAACTGAATGATGAGGTTAGAGCCAGAGTGTGACTGTGTGTGAGTGCGATTCAGCGACTTGGTGGCCTGGGACATAAGAGCTATGTATGGGTCAGATTCACAAACAGGAAAAGTGAGCCTTTAGTTTCTTTCCTGTCCCTTCATTTACACTAGAATATTTAGTAGCATGCAGTGCTTCATATAGGAATGATGATAAAGACAGTGATTTTTGTACTGAAAGGACGTTAAGATTTCAAGATTTGAGTGCAGACACTTAAATCAAATGAGGAGAATGCAGTGATACCAAGGTTGAAAGCCAGGGTCCTATTGTCCCCGAGGCAACCCCCAGCATAGTGACTTTATCTTTAAAATGTACTTCAAGGAATGCTTATTGTTGTTGACAAAACAGCTAGACAAGTCTGGAATGTTGTTGTGCATCATGCTAAGTCGAGTCTGATGCTTTGTGACCCCATGGACTGTAGCCTGCCAGGCTCCTCTCTCCATGGGATTCTCCACTGGAGTGGGTTGCCATTTCCTTCTTCAGGGATCTTCTTGGCCCAGGAATTGAACCTGAGTCTCCTGTGTCTCCTGCATTGCAGGCGAGTTCTTTACTCTCTGAGCCATCGGGAAAGCCCAGACGAGGCTGGGATGACTGATCCTGATTGCCAAGAGGAAACTCTATTACTGCTACACCCTGCGGGCAAGGTAGACTGTAACTGGGCCAAAGAGGTTCACTTGATTGTCTTGCCAACTTGCCCAACAGTCTGGTCAATAAAAAACTGCCTCAACCCCAAAGAGACAGGATCCTCAAGACCTCCATTTCTGTAGGAATGAGGTTTAGTCCCTTTATCAGGTGAAGGACCGCATGCAATGAAGGGGCAGGCAGACGGTAAAGGGAATGGGTAGTGGAAGAAGGAATTCATGATTGTTAAAGTCCTGTGAACAGCTATAAATGCAGGAATTATAGTAGGAATGGTTTCTGTTAATTCATTCTTTGTCATCTTTCCTCCTCCTCCCTCCTCTCTTACGTGAAGAGTACTAAAGAGGGCTGAAATTTCACTTTTCAGGTGGGACTGTGCCCACACCGCCATCCTCCATATGGTGGTGGTGATGAGATTCTGAGTATTTCCTGGGCTGGAGGCAAGCATTTCTCATCTGAGCAAAGACAAGAGCGGGAGCTGAAGAAATGAGGAATGGGTTGTGCTACTTTGGCCCTCCAGATCCATCATCTGTTCTTTCCCGCTCTGCTTTGTCTCCAGAGGAATTGACATGCATGAATTGCTCCCTGTGTATGCTGACTTTCTGGATTTTGATTGCATTTGGCAAGTGAAATAAGTTAGGAAGGAGACTGAAAGAAGATAATACAGCTAAAATGCATATTCCTCTGGAACCCTCCAGCCAAGTTGCCTTGCAGGTTGGTTGTCTACTTCTACCCAAAACCTCAGCTCATGCAGACAGCTCTTGTCCATATAATTCTCCTTCCTAGATCTGGAAATTGCTCTCAATCCTGGTCCTTAATGGGCTTCCAGCTATTGTTAGCTTTGGGGCAGCATACTACTTCTTTACAGGGTTCCTTAAACTCTCTCTACACCTTAAAAAAGTCAATCCCTTATTAAACTCTTTTTCAAACACAATATTGTAAATTGACTGTACATCAACAAAAATTTTTTTTAAACATAAATTATTTCAACCGCTATGGAAAACATATGGAAGTTTCTTTAAAAAGCTTGAAATTACTATATGATCCAGCAATCCTACTCCTGGACATTTACTTGGAAGAGATGAAAACTCTAATTTGAAAAGATGCATGCACCCTAATGTTCGTAGCAACACTATTTATAATAGCCAAGACATGGAAACATCCCAAGTGCCCATCAACAGATGATTTGTTTAAGAAGCTGTAGTATGTAGTATATATATATATATATATATATATATATGCAATGGAATTCTATATATACATATATATATGCAGTGGAATATTACTCAGCCACAAAAAAGAATGAAACATTGCCATTTGCAGCAACATGAATGGACCTAGAGGTTATCATACTAAATTATATAAGTCAGGAAGAGGAAGGGAAAATATATGATATCA